TGACATTTAGGAGGATCTATTGGCAGAAGTGGGATATAATATTCATAGGTATGTTTTCCTTAATGTATAATAACCTGAAAATAAGAAGTGTTATGTTTTTGTTACCTTGGAATGAGCATTTTATATCTACAGATAGTGTAGACAGAGTTTTTCGTGCTTTTCACACCCGTCGCAGTTTCTCCTTGGCGCTTGGAAGGGTAGTGTGAAGCTAGGGAGTTGCAGTCTGCAACTACACCGCTAGATGCCACTGAATCCTACACACTGGTCCTTTAAGACATTACAAACCTATCCTTTAACTTGACTAGCTCTTTCCCTGTGGCTTGTACGTGACTGAGTGAAATGATATGTGCCTATCTTTCCTACTAGTTGAGTCATATAGTTTAATGGCTCAGATCACGAGAAGTCCCTCCTGTATGAATCAATCAAAATCGTACTGCTTAAAATAAATACTAGTAGCTCTTAGATTTCAAGGCTGCTGAGAAGAAACAGCCAGTGAGTCAATGGGTAAACTCATTTTTTTGTATCAGCAAGGTTTGAGGTCATTTAGAGCATTGAAAGCATCTTCTAAAGGAAATGATAAGAGGCTTTGTAACAGACTGTACTGTGACTCAATGGAGCTCAGAGCAACATCAAATATTCCAGAGATTTCGTTGGAAGAGACAACAAATCAGCTCTGGTCTGTCCATCTGCCACACACATTATATCACAAACTACTGATGAGATTTTAGTGAAACTTAAGGGAATGATGTATCTCCCGCCCTGCGTCGTTCAGTGCAACAGTGCAGGTTAATCACTGAAATTTATAAAATTGCGTCTATGGTTGGGGTTCTACAATAAATGGAGTATCTAACACCAATAAGCCCAATGGGAAAGCATGTCTTTCTGTCGCTCATAGGTGTCATGCGTGGCATCCCAGATTTGGCAAAACCCGATTTCATGAATGAAAATGTGTGAATGGAAACACGTGGATTAAAACGTGGTCTCAGGCAAATCATAAACACATAATAACACATGAAGCTTATAAAATGCTTCAAGGAGATGAAGCAATGGAAAGGTGGATACAGTGTGAGCATGATACTGTCTTATTATTTAACAAAATGATAATAATTGAGTAATGCTGACATTTTCAGTTACAAGAAGTGACATGTCTACAACTTCTGCTGCCTCACCTGTCACCTTTGTCCCATGATAACATCTGTCAGCTGTCAACAATACAACAAAACAGCCTTTTATCACACAGTGTTTTGCACTACACTTGTCTTGATAAGAATCATAGCGGTGTCTCCCTGAACAGAACGAATGTAACTCTTGAAGATAAACACTTTGAATGAGCATGAAGATACTTCTTTTTTTTCCCTTCTATCTATCTATCTGCTTTTCTTCGAGGGCATTCACATTGTGTTTGGCCTACATTGCCAGCTCCAGTGAGGATCCGGAGCAGACAGGACATTCGTCATACTCTTCTCTGTCCTCCTTTATGTGCAAACAGACTTTGCAGATCGCATGGCAGAATGACAGGGTCTCTCATAATGTCATTGCAGAAAACAGCAGCACAGATCTTCCACTGGAGGACACAACCTACAGGCCATGCTGACCTCTCTGAACCCGACTGCTCCCCCTATTTTGGTTCTTGGCTCTGGCTGTGCAGCTTAACCTGTGTGTCTTCATGATCCTGCTGTGCCATCACACATAAGCAGCTGACTTTACAGTGAGAGTACATTTAGGATTGTCTTATCACAGATATTGTAATTCTAGTGCTGTAATTAGTCTGTGGGATGGATCTGCTGTTTAAATTTGAATGGTTTCATTTTGAATTATGGTGTTTTCTATATTTTCTAATTACAGTATTATGCACAGCTCCACTCTTGATTATTATTCTTTGCAGTTACTTGTTGTCTCCTATGCTTGTACACACAGGTAGGTTCAGCTTGCTGGCAGTGTATTTTGCTGCCAAAGAGGCGTGTGCTCTGAACTTATAGTGCACCACTGCCCCCCTGTGGACTGCAGTAAAACATGAAGGGAGACCTCAGTTCACCCCACAGCCACAATTGGTAACTCCTTTAAGTCTTCTTCTAAGACAGATTTTCCACACTGTCTACTTTTGCCTGTAGCCATTCTACAAATACTAACACAAATCACAAAGAATGTTATGGTTAGCCCAATATTTTACACAATCCCACTTGTATGGGTTTGTTTCGTGTTTAGCCACTCAAAAATAACTAAAAATACATCTAATTTTTCATCAGTACAATGTATAAAGTGCCAGATATGACTTCACAAATCAGTTTATCAGGTTTTAAAATAATCAAAGTAACCACATTGATTTATGTGTTGAGTTCAACACAATTTGACAAGTCAAATCAATCAATCAAACTGAAAACAATATAAATTAAACAGTTATTACTTAATGTTAACATACAAGAGACTTCTGGTTTCAGTTATACAGTACCTTGATACACATTATGGCCTCATGTTATATTTATAGACTAATTATGCACATTTTAATGTGTTCATTATGTTACCATTATAACTAAGAGTTGTATATTGTATTTCGCTACAATTAAGATAATTAACATTATGATAGTAGATATGGTTCTTGGTGAAATGCTCATTTTGATAGATTGTTAGTTTTCTCTTATATTTTATTGTGTTATATATTGTTATGTTTAATTATCCACATGAGTGCTCAGGATGCTGAGTTTTGAATAACAGGAAATGTCTAAATGTGGGGCTGGGACAGCCAGAGACTAATATGTTGCAGCAGCCAATTCTGGAAGGAATTAAAAAAAAAAAAAAATGAAACAGGGGATCAGTTTGTCTACACTCTCTCTCTGCCTCCCTGGGGGATCGACACACAGCTCCTTCCTCACCAGTGCTCGAGAACATCAACAGCAGCCTTGTCCCTCGGGTGTGTTGGGGATTTTTTTGGTGTTTTTTTCACTCTTCCTAATTAACATGTGCGTCATGGCCACACAACACGTGTGCTTTCTCAGCAACAAAAGACCTTCACTAAACTCAATTGCCAGAGCCTGTAGATGAGACCACTCCAAGAACTAGAACAACCTCCTCAAAGAAAACAATCGCCTGTTGACAGAGACCCCAGAGAGGAGACAGAAGCAGTAAAAAAAACAGACTTTCTAAATCAGAAACCTGCCTTGCCTTGAGGCCACACCTACGACACAGTCGGTGTCCCCCCTGCTCTATAACAAAGTCCCAGCTGGGTGGACCCAGAGCTCTTTCATAACACAACGGCTCATAAGACATCAGTGAACATTTTAGAAGGCGTGCCCTTGGCCCACGTTTTTTATTTTTATAAAATTGATCTGAGTGATAAAAGTAAAAAGATAAGTTAACAGAAATTGACAAGCCAATATTACATAAAAAAAACCATTGTGTTTACACAGGATGCCTAGGGAACGGTGCAATAATGTATCTATATAGGGCAAACCCGATTAAAGCATTCATTTTTCTTTAACCTTTTTTCCATCCTCTATTTTTCCTAGCACTCCCTTTATGGCTGTCACTGCTTTGGACCTTCCCCAAAGCCTTAGGAGAACTGGCTAAATGCCAACTCCTGCATGTCGCTGCTGAAGTGAGAATATGGTGTTTTGGATATTGCCTTCATATGTTTGTCAGAAGAGAATCTGGATCAAAGATAACGTCTGTATATTTGACAAAGTCCTTTGGGAGAACTGTGCTGCCACTGAAGTTGAAAGAGAGTCTGATAAGTCAGTTGCTGTGGCCTAGAATTAGCATTTCACTTTTATCTGTGTTGAAAATAAAGTTATTTGTCAGGTTTTTTGTGTGTGTTGATGCAGAGAGATTAAAGATTGAAGTATTTTAAGATTTCTTGATTTTTATTGTAGCTGCTTTGTATCACTTGACTTGTTTGAGATGTCACAGTAAGAAACATTCTCATCTGTGTCTTTAGGGGTCAGCCTCCCACCAGCTAGCACTGAGTCCATCGTTCTGCCCCAGAAATGCAAGCACACACCTTATGCATTAGTAGAGCATCAGTCAGACCTTAAAATGCATCCGTCTGTAAATGTGAGGAGGTAGAAGGGAGACTTTGTTTCTGATATATTTTCTGAATTCTCAGAAAGATATCAGTGAGAGTGGCTCCATTCATCAACTGTGAACCCTCAACCTGGTTCCTACTGTAAGTACTTGGTTAATAAATACAGGTGAGAAGCTAGTTGCTTCTAGGAAATGTTGCATGGGTCTCTTTGCATGTTGAAAAAGCCATGTGATGTGCACTGATTTTCACTTCTCTACAAAAATGTGTAAAACGCTACCATGCTATAACTGCACAATTAATTATCAAGATTCTAATGGATTAACTTTCTTGTTTGAGGAGTAGTAGATAGAATATCCAGTTCTAAATAATTCATTATTTTCACATTTGCACTCGAGTGTGTACGAACTTTTATTATACAGTTTGTTTTACACTTGTAACATACATTTTAGATTTGTATATACTTAAACATTGCACAGCTCACCTACACATGCATTCACACATTGCAATACCTATAATAACAGTAAACCTATTTTCATTCTTGGTATTTTCTTCTCCAAATTATCATCTTTACCTGTATTTGAATTAAGATTATTGATTGCACACTAGTATCTAAGCACAGCCTTAAGTGTATGCCACCAAACCATCAGGGCACTGAACTGAACTAACTATACCATACTACATCTATACCGATATATACATGGTATTACATGTATAGAAATCTGGCAGTACATCAGCTAAAAGTTACATTTAAACTGTTGCATTCAATATTTATTCTGTGATAGCAGAAGCACATGTTTTGGTCAAGCTCGTGGAAACTTCCTCAGCGTGTACTAACTACAAATTTTAAATTATAAAATTATGATTTCAGACTATATATTTTCATTTAAATGTATCAGTAGAGGAATCTATACAGTCAAAGAGAGACATATTTGTCATATTTACCAACATGGCTTTTACTTTGAAGAGAATAAACGGAAGTTCTCCTCATTCCTTCCGGTTGACCTCATGACAGATGCAGCTGAACTTTCGGTATTTTAACAGCTAAAAAAAACCTCTCTGTAATCGTTAAAACATCCCGTTATCCATTTTATCTGACCAGTTAAAGCGGTGCGCTGTATGACAAGGACCTGTTACTTCTATATATTGACGTTAATATCCTCCGACCGATAACTGAAAGTAACTTTAGCTCTCCATGGCACCTCTCCGGGTCCTGTGCATCCATGGTTACCGTCAGAACGGCCGCTCGTTCCGCGAGAGGACCGGAGCTCTGCGGAAGCTGCTGAAGAAACACGTGGAGCTCGTTTACCTGAGTGCACCGCACAGTGTCCCGCAAACCAGCAGCGAAGGTGGGTTTCCCCCCTGAACGAGCTTCACACTGAAGAGGAACGGACAGTTGGTGGACAGAAAATGACTTTCACTTTGTCCTTTCCTTTTCTTACTTTATACTACGATGACTTCTCAAACTAGTTACACATAAATACTTTATATATATATTAAATAGTTAAATGAAGTGAATCCAACTCTGACATACTGAGTAACTACTTGAATGTAACCATTATTATTTTGACAGGACTGGTAGATTGATATTTTAAATGTAATCTCTTTTTAAACAGGACAATACTTTTCAAGTTCGGTAATTGATCTCTTGTAATTCATCTAACCAGAACAAAGCTATATTATATGCAGTGCCTTGATCTCCTGCCATACACTATTTACAAGGTCTTGAGAAATAAGAATGCAAATATGACTCTCACAACTACCATAACTGAGGGTCAAAACAGGCTATTTTGGCTCAATTGATCAACTTCCGTATATAGTGTATTGTCTATTGTATGATATAATGTTGTTTCTATAGCAAGTCAATAATGAGTTACAGCCACAGACTGCAGTTTATGGTAAAAGCTATAACAAGATAATTTGTTAATATAACATCAATTTCCACCTTATCTTAAATCATCTGTGATCTCAAAATAACTTCCTGCTTGTATGCAAACCATTTTCAACATCAAGTCATTCAAATTGAAACAAGAAACTGCGCTTTGCTGCAGATTTAAGTTTCCACAAACATATATTTAAAAACACAGAACATTAACTAAACATTGACCTATATTAATGCACTAATAACAGAAGCATTGTTGTAATATTAATATCATGTATGTCCTAAAATAATAAATATTAATTTTCAGAGTTTAAGTGAAACTTGTGGTGCCTTCCCCAGTTTCTTATCTGTCTTCACCTGTCCCTCTTCAAGTAAAGGCATACAAAGCCTACTAATAAACACTCCTTTGTCATTTCAGAAGCTCCAGAGAAGGAGAATGGTTCTGGACCTGGACCTGGACCTGGAGGCGATGAGGACTCCAAGGGGTGGTGGTTTTCTGACATCCAGGCTCGGAGTTTCAATGCCCAGCAGCAGTGTGAAGAAAGCCTGGGGCTCAACGAGAGCGTGACGGTTGTGAGAGAAGCTGTGAAGGTCCAAGGTCCATTTGACGGCATCCTGGGCTTCAGTCAGGGAGCAGCTTTTGTGGCCATGCTGTGCTCTCTTCAGGAGCAAAAACTGGAGCCAGAGTTCAGCTTCCGCTTTGCCATCCTTGTCGCTGGTTTCCGCAGCGCATGTAAGGAACATCAAACGTTCTACAACACACCTCTCCAGATCCCGTCCCTGCATGTGTTTGGACTGGAGGACAGAGTCATCCCAGACAACATGAGCAGGGAGCTCCTCCCCTCCTTCCAAGACCCTCAGGTCCTGACACATCCTGGTGGTCATTTTGTTCCTGCTGCATCTGCTCACAGACAAACCTACCAGGACTTTCTCAAGAGGTTCCAGTGAGAGATGAAAGTCACAGAAACTCAGGGACTAAGGCGAAAGGCCAGGGAATGCTGATTGTTTAATGTTCAGAAAAATCTTGTGATAACATAATTGATACCAGAGGCACTTTGAGTAAAAATGCCAAGTTCAGAATCATGACCTCTGGAAGCTGATCTGATCCTTCCAACAGTGCAGTGACTGCTGTCCTTCTCAGGGAAGATATCTTGTTACAGACAATAAATTGACATTGTTTATGTAATGTATTCTAGTCTTTTTCTTTTTTTGAGATGTGTAATTCTTTAAAGTGCAACTAATAACATTTATGGCTTTGTTCCAAAAATGTTATTATGACCTATTTAAACCAAACCTTTAACACTTTCATCTTCTCCCGCATGGACTCTAGGATTAATAATGAAATAACCGATTTCATCCTGACGTTCTCAGCTTACAAATGGTGTATGAATTTCTGAAATATTGTGGAACTCTGTGTTGAAATGAGAATAGACTGAAGTAATGAGATAAAGCCCTCAGTACGCTTCCAACAAACACAGCTCTAAAGGCAAAGGTCTGTCTGAATGGTCACACCAGAAGGCCAGACTAAACGCTCGCTGTCATAGCCTCCTACTGGCTGCATCCCTCTGCCAACTCTCTCTCTCTCTCTCTCTCTCTCTCTCTCTCTCTCTCTCTCTCTCTCTCTCTCTCTCTCTCTCTCTCTCTCTTAGCACTATGTCTTTTGCGTGTGTCTATACCTCGAATGCAAGGAATTGCACATAAGAAAAGTGACGGACATTGTTGTAGCTCGTGTAAGGAATGAAACAGGAGAGTTGTACAGGCTGTTGGCTTCATCATAGATTGGTCTGTTTTGGGAATGAACAAACGGAAAGGACGCTTCAGACACTGAAATACAATCTGACCAGCACCTTTAGACAAATTGGCAGATGGGAACAATTGGAATATTGGTTTAATTTCTTTGGAAACTAGATGGAAATATCAGGAATTATTATAAATGACTCATTTTACAGGAATAAACGTAAATGTATTTTCCATTTTTCCCTGCAGTGATCTTTAAAGTAAAAAGCTAAGAATTGTCCTTCCCTTTATAAAAACATCACTACGCCAGGAGAGGACCAACATTTTTAGGTTCTGGGAACACTTTACCATGATTGTGGAAAGTTATGACAAGAATTTTATATCAGAGCCACATTGGAAATCTTGATTTAATAAGTCTAAGTAATATTTTGCATAAAATAGCTTTGCTTTATTTGTGTATTGTGACAGTTGTATAACAATAGAACTGCACACTGTCACAAATTGGTGCAAAGACAGTTTTAGTAACTGTGTTAATACATAAGGCACTTTTCACCCACAGTGAATTGCATTGCGTTGTTTGGGAGTAATGAAGAGTTGCTCTGCCCGCCCAGAGGCCATGTATCTCTATAACTGGGTTAAGGTCTATGAAGGTGTTTCTTCATACGTGGGGTTATATGGACAGGTTTATGCACACGCTTAAATGCAAAAGGTTCAAGGACATGTTGTTCTTTTATAGCTGAAAGCATGTGCACTTCAGACTGCACTCATTCGATTGTTTCCAGATGTGTGCTTTCTCCTCTCTACCTCTCTTCTCTCTCTCTCTCTCTCTCTCTCTCTCCCCTTCCCCTTTTTGCTTTCATCTCCCACTGGCCTCTACCTCACTTCAAACTCTCCTCAACATCTCCCTCCCCTCTGCATCCTGTGTGTCATCAGCTTTGGGTGCAACATACCCTATCACATGTCCTCTACATTTATGACATAGACAGAAATAGTTTTGTTTGTCTGGATATCTCCGCTCTTGATTCGAACTACAAACAACTGTGGACTGTTGCTGGTGATTTTTTTGCCTTGCAGGGATGAAATTCCATTGTGAAACATCTTATAGTCGGCATCTATATCCACTCTTGTAAACACACACTCTCGCTCTCCCAATCAGTCTGTCTTAATGTTTATAACACGTCACCTGTTCCAACATCTAACGCAAGCACAAATAGCATGCCTACGTGGTCCCGTTTCCCCGTCACAGCCCTCGTATTCATTCTCTCCTGTGCTCCCCTGTGGCCCTTGTGTCCCTCCAAGACCTCACAGCAGACACACACACTCACACACACATGGTTTTGATAACAAGTAAAGACGAACGGAGAGAGTGAGCGAGCGAGGGAAACAGTAAAAGAAAAACACAGAAGGTCACTCTTGCCAGTAAGTTTTACAACAGAGCCGTGACTCTCTTCTCAGGAATCCGTTCCCCCTGTTGCACAACAACCGGGAAATAATGGAATGAGAGACAGACAGATGAGGGTGGAGTTATCCTCCCCTCCTTGCCTCCCTCTCTCCCTCTCTGCCTCTCTCTGGCTGTTGTGCGGTTAAAAAGGGAGAGTAAGGGCACATTCAAGTTTTCGCCGCGATTGAAGGATCACTTTTTCCCTCTTCCCCTCGGTGGAGTGTGGGGGGAATGGAGCAGGGGGCAGAGGGGTGTGTCAGAGCACAGATGGGCTCTATTTTGATTATGGAGCGTTTGTTGTTATGGGAGACGGAAGGAGGGGAGGGGCCACGTGGTGCGTGTGTCTATATAAGACTTGCACTTAAACTCCAAAGAGCCTGGTCATCCCATGGCCCAGGCTGGTCCAGACACTTCCAAAGTTGACCAACTCTGTCTTCAGCTTCTCCCACTGACAACTCTCCTTCTCTGGAATAATGCTGTGATTGCAAGATATTCAGCAGAGGACTTGAGATCTCAATACCTGACTTACAACTTTTGGATTTATATGCATTTGTTTTGCAGTTATTCACCATTGTTTTTTGTTTTTGTCATCGTAATCTGCATTGTTCCGATCCCAACAAAGGGAAGATGCTGAAGACAGAAGGACTGTGGCGTAGTTTGGATTCTTAAACCGATTTTTCACATCTCTGTTAAACTGAATTGATATTAATATCAATCTGTTTAAGTCTACGCATGAGTGCATATGTTTGTGGGTGCGCTTGCGCCATTAAATTTGGTATGCTGGTGCGTGTGGATGTGATGTAACTTCATGTTGGATGTTTTCCAGAAGTATGGCATGTGTCCAGTATCACATGGGGATTTAGCCATGCCTCTCTGCTTCCTGTGTTTGTTTGTGTGTGTGTGTGTTGTTGTGTTTGTCAGTGACTGGGCGTACATGTGTGTCTGTATAGTTTGCAGAAGAAAAGAAAGTACTCTCATGATGTGAGAGCTGGTTAGATATGCAGTGTGTTTGACGTCTGTGATGTGTGTTGACATGTGAACGAGGGACCAGAGGGAGTATATTTAGCGTTGTCAGTTGAATTGCTATTTAAAGAACAGAAAAGGCAGAGAAAGTCAGTTAATATCATATAATGACATAAAACTACACAGTGAAGACATCTGTGGTGCAGTTTTAGTGTGATATCTAGGCCCAAACAACTGGCAGTGTGTGTTTATGTGTGGGTGTGTGTCTGCATATTTCTTTCCTCCATATGGGTGTGATTTGGTCATTTGTTATTCCATGCTTGCATACTCACACACTTCTGGTTTTCTTCTACTTTGTGGTTTTCTTGTTTGTGTGGACAAAGTGTACTTTGGCTCGGCCAAAGCCTTTTCTGGTTTTTGCTCTCATCCAGTCATCATGCATATCATGCATTCTCTCTATCTGTCCCTCTCACTGATTTCAGACATGTGGCATGTTGTTGGCCCTGTCACCTGGAAAAACATCCTGTTAACCAGCAGTCAACATCTGATCTGTGACTGTCCACGCGACTTGTTCAGCGTGTGTGTTTCTACTTCACTCTAGTACCAGATGTAAATATGTTCGTAGGTTGTGCCCATTGTTGTAAACTGAGGAGGCACAGAGGTGAACTGAGGACACGGCTAAAGCCGTCTGAAGTTAGGGCAGCGGCCGTTTGATGTATGATGTCATCTGCAGTCGTTTGTCTGCCTGTGTGCTTTACTGGACTGTTTTAGAGGCCGTGGCTGGGCCCTGGCAAGAAGAGCTGTGGTTTGGCTGTTCTTAGAGGTGCCTTACTGACACTACTGGGGTAAATATTAGTCATCATGACCATGGAGGAGGACTCGGGTAGAGTCTGCATAAAACCGAAAGAGGGAGAGAGAGAGGTATGTCTTGGATCACATATCCAAAAAATGTGAACACTGTTGTGCAATCATGTTTGGTTTCAGACAATTATTAAGAGGTTTGGAGGGTGAAAAGGGGACAATACAATAATTCCATCAACAGCCTTTGCTGTGCATGTGTAGCTGAATGATATTGGTAGAGGAATATGCGGACAAAAGAAAGTGAGAAGATTTTTGGAGCGTTCAAAACTAAACAAAAATAATAATCAAATAGCTACTGTAGTTATTAAAGTCATAAAACTTTGTTGGGTGTTCACTTACGCCAGCCTTTCTCAGCTTTGCACTGGGACCTAAAGGGCATCACATGAGATTTAGACAGGGTCTAAGACTGATATAGTAATATTCACTTGTTATTAAAGATGTATAAGTTTCGTCATTCGTATTAATTATATCATTTTGAGCCACAGCCATTATCAATTCGACAAGATTGAGGAATCCAAAGCAATAACAGTAGACCTCTTCAGTGTAGTTTGTAATGTAGTTTGACCTGCAGTGATACCTGTGTGTGTGAGAGAGAGAGAGAGACAGTAAGAGGGAGAGAGAAAGATAACTCTACTTCTCAGCCCTGAACAGTAAGAGTTTATGTGCTGTTATTTGTCTGTCAGCACATGAGCTTTTACGGTGCAGGGAGGCAGAGGATAAACAACTGTTGATTTAACTTATCTTTCTTTTCTTTTCTTTTCTTTTCTTTTATTTAGTCAGTAGATAGAAAACATATTGCCATTTTGTACAATCATGGACAAAGAAGAGGTTGCGTGGCAGAAATGCGATGGTCAGTGACGCAGTGAAGAGAAAATAGTTTCTCTCCACAAACTTCTGTAAATATTAATTTAGTAGGCCTACATTTTGCAGTACGTGGTGACAGAATTATGGTGCCTCGTATAATTGTACCATTTTTTTAAGTGATAAGAAAAATGCCAGCAGTCCACATTGTAAAGCAGTTTACATGGTTTAATTACGCTATGAATGAAAAACTAATGTGACTGCGGTGCAGCCATGCCCTACGTGCTGACTTCTTACTTAACTCATTAAAACTCCAACTGTCTAGGATATCTGAAAGTCTAGACAGCTGCCACACATAATTTATATGAGAACTCTACCTTTCTCTCA